CTTAATAGGTTCCTATATATTTTCTAAGGTATTATATCTCTTCTATTTTATAAGATAATAAGGTTTTCTACTAATTTTATTAGTATCTAGGATTTATTTAATCTCGTATTCGTTTTCCGTTTCTTCTTTTATTTCTATATTAGTAGCGATTTTAGCGTTTTTAGGTACTTTTTCTAATAATAAGATATAAAAGGTTATATAGATACGTCGTATACTATTAGGTAGCTCTAATCGATAATTAAGCGGTCCTATTTTTTCTATAATTTTAAATAGTCCTAATTTAAGATAGTTGAGCTTTACGCTAGATTATCTAGTACGAATATTATATTATAAAAGGTAAACTTTCTCTCCCCTTTAAAAGTCTAGCGCTTTCTAGCGCGATTAGTCGTAATAGAATTTTATATATAGGTTTAAAAACTTAATATCTTATAATAGCTATAGATATAGCTACTCTAACCTAGTCGCTAGTAGTTAGGATAACTCTATAAGTAGTTATTTTCTGATCGGTTCTCTAATAATAGTAGGATTAAACCTATAATTTACGAAGAAAGATATCTCTTTTATAATTACGTATATTATATTATTATATATAAACTATATTATTAATAGTAATCCTATCTAGTTATCTTACTAGAAGTTTACGTAGTATCGTAGATATTATTCTAGTATTTAGTTAACTTATCCTATTTATCCGTTAGTTTACGGATAGTACGCAGTAGAGAGTCTATACTTAATACTAAGTTAGTCCGCTAATAACTACTATATATTAGATATAAATAACCTATCTCTATCTAAGGTAATCCTACTCGGTATTCTATAATTAGTAAATATATATCTAAGTAATAGGCTAGCTATTTATCGTACGTTAATAGTTTCTGTTATTAATATTACGTATATATATTTAGCTAGTTAGTTAACGACTACTATAATTATATTACTTCCTTCCGAAATAGGTAGTTTTATAATAAAGTCTATAGTAATCTATTCTTATAGTCGCTTTAGTATTTCCGCTAATTCTAGTTCTCTATATAATATATACCGCGATAATTTATTCTATTAGTATAAATCGTATTACTAAATATATTTTCTAACTTTTCTATAGAGTACTAGGATATAGTAATTCCGTATAATTTTTTCGATAGTTTTCTTAATATTAAGGTATCCTTAGGTAGATTCGTTATAATATAATTAGATAATCTTAGTTTAGAGGTTCCCGGGAATATATACTAAGCTATAAATAAGGACTAGACTATCTTTTACTAGAGCTATATTATTACTTAGAATCTTCTAGATCGACTTATTAGTTTTAGTACTATTTCGAATTTTTTTAAGCTATTTATTATCCTATAATTCGCTAGTTACTATAAGGATTTAGTGATTATATATAATATACCCTTCGCTATCTATAGTTAGGATAGCGGGTATCGCTTCCTTAGTCCCGAGCTTATAGTCTAGGTATTAACTTAGTATATCTATTACTACGTTTTCGGTCCCCTTATAGTATATAATCTTAAAATTATATTAAGCTAGTATTTCTACCTATCTAGCTTATCGTTATATAAGTTTCTTCGTTATTATAAAGTAGGTAAGATTATAGTAGTCTATCCTAACGATTATAGTATACTTAGCTCCTTCTAAGTATACTCTCTATATTTAAAATACTAATACTATAGCTAATAGTTCCTTATTATAGATATCGTAATTTAATTCTACTAGTATTATTTTATAAGACTAGAAAGCGATAGATCTAAGCTTACCGTCTTATCCTAGCTATATAAGTTAAGCTCTAAGCGCGAAATCCGATACGTTAGTTTCTAAGATAATTAGTACGTTATAGCTAAATATTATAATAATTACTTTCCCTACTTCTTAGTTATATATTTCCTTAAGCGAAGTAAATAATCCTTCTATCTTATTATCTTATTTAAATAGTACGTCTTTCTTAGTAAATCGGTAAAGTCCGGCTATATACTTTAAATATTATAGGACTAACTTTCGATAGTAGTTAGTAAGTCTAAGAAAGCTCTATATATCCTTAACGTATATTAGGGTTAGCTACTTAAGTATACTTTTAACCTTATCCTATTCTATCCTAAGTCCGTTAGGACTAATAATATATCTAAGAAAGCTAGTATTCTACATATAAAATTTATATTTCTTAAGCTTAAGTATAACCTTAGCTTCCCTTAGTCGTTATAATACTAGTTTATTATATTTAATATACTCGGTTTCCGTTTTCGAAAATATAAGAATATCGTTAGGGTATATAATAATAAACTTATTAAGATATCTATTTAGTATACTAAAGATAAAGCGTTAAAACGATACTAGTACGTTAGTAAGTCTAAATAGTATAATATTATACTTAAAGTATCCGAACTTAGTCCGGAATACCGTTTTCTATTTATCTTCTTCCTTAATCCTTAGCCTATTATAGATATTAGTAATATTATATTTACTAAAGTATTTTACTCCTTAGATAATATCTTAGATTTCGTTAATTAATAGTAATAGATACTAGTCCTTAATAGTAATATCGTTAAGTTATTAGTAATTAACGTATATTCTAAGTTCTTCCCCTTTCTTTAGTATAAATAGGATTAGATATCTTACTAACGATTTTAAGTATTAAATATTCCCTTTCTTAAGGTTATCCTTAATATATTCTTCTAGTATCGCTAACTCTTTCTACGATAGTAGATAAATTAGTATAAACTTTAGTTCCTAGCTATCCTTAATCTTAATCCTATAGTCGTATAGGCTATACTTAGGTAGCTTACCGTTAGGTAGTAGCGTAAATATATCCTAGAATTCTACGTATTCTTTAGGGATCTTATATTCCTCCCCTAGCGCTTCTATTATATAGAGGATTATTATATTATTATAGACGAGAACGTATTTATTTAGTTCCTTATTTATTATATCTAGTCGTTATTCCGTAGTAGCGATATCTCTAATATTACTTATTTATTTATTAGGCCTATCTCCTAGCTAAAAACTCTCTTTAAGTTCTTCTTCGTGAGGATTCTTATAAGTATCTACTTCCCTAGAGCTAAGTCTCTTTAGTATTATAGGCTCGCTTCTTCTAGTCTATATCTATATAGTCTATCGATACGAGTATCTATTAAAGACGATATTTCCTACTCGCTAATTAATAGCTAGGTTATACTTCCTTAACTAAGATACTCCGAGTACTATATTATACTCTCCGAGGTATATAACGTCGAAGTTAATAATCTCGAAGTAGTCCCTAATAACTATTAGTAGCGGTCCGCTCTTATATATAATCCCTAGTCCTAAACTTTCTCTATTTAGACTAATAATTAGTATTAGTCGTGGCTTCTCTACGCCTTAGATCTTATACTTCTATTTATATAGTAGGCTTATAAAGTTTCTTACTACTCCTAAATCGATTATTACTCTAGTTAGTCGAAGTATAATATTAGTAGTAATTTTTCTATTTAGGCCCGAGCTACCGGAAGCGGCAACCTCCTAGTCCCGGTTTAGCGCCCGCCCCCACCGCTCCCCGCTACGGTTTAGCGTAGGTCGAACACGGTTTAGCGGCCACGCTAATCTATAACGGGTATACCTATACCTTCACCGCCGCGCGACTCGACGTCCCGAGTGTATAAATCGTAGGTACGTCGCTCCATCGTCGCTATTATCTCCCTTGTTTTCCTCCCCCTCCTCGAACACTTCCACGATACGTCCGATTAGATCGATGATTTCGGGCGGATTACGAGCCCCGGTCTACTTAAGGTATTTTTAAGCAACATCATCCGGGCTATACTCGTACTATCTAATAGGAGCCCTCCCTAACGCCGTCCGCCCCCTTTCCCTCGTTCGACCTACTAATTTTAATAGTTTACCGGTCGATCGCTTTTTTTAACCGTAGCACCCACGTTCTACGCGCCTTATTTCTATTAAATTCGCTACCACGAAGCTTTAGCTCTCTAACATCTCTCTAATACCTCCGTCACCGAACAGTCCCATATTAAGCCTATCCTTAGACCCGGTTACGTAGCGATCGTTAAGAGCAGACGATTTCTAGGTCGATATATACCTCCGAGTTTAGAACAGTGATTTAGATAACGTGGCGTATCGCTAACGCTCCCCTAAACACTCGAACGACCACCGCTCCTCGGTCTATTATCTATAGCCCCGCACGGTTTTCGGGAATAGCAAGCTACCTTATCTTCCTAGCTCGCCTTAAGTAATACGCTCTTTTTACTATTAGACCTAGGTACGACTCCTATATATCCCGTAGCGAAGGAATAGGGTACGTACCTAAGTTTAAGATACGAGCTAAGTAGCTATAAGCGTTAGATAAGGTATAATCGGGAGTCGGCCTATTAGGTAATTAGTTAAGCTATATAGTAGTACCTTAAAGCGGCCGGTTTCTACGTATATATTTCCTCGTCTAGTTAACTTAGTATAGGTAGTGTCCTCGACGAGAGGAGCTTTTTCACCGATTATAAGTTTATAATACGGCCGTAGGTAATTCTTTATCTTCCTCGCCCTTAGAGTATAGTCCTCCGATTTTATATTTAGATCGGAGCTAAACAAGGAAGCCCTATCTACCTTAGAAACGTGACTACGGGAAGGCGAGGCTTAGGGCCGGCCGGTTATATCTAATAGCCTAGATTCCTATTCGGGGTAGGGCCGTTATTAGAATAACGCCGCTAAATATCGTTTTCCGGGGGCTACTTAGATCTATTATAAAAGGGTCCTTTCGACCGTCTACCTAAGTCGGGTTAGTAGTCCGATTACCTTATTTCGCTTTTTTTATATCTATATCTTTTCTATCTAGATCTAAGACTATACCGGTGCTCCTTAATAATATATAGTTCTATCACGGCCCTTCGAAGCCTATAAAACCGCTATATTTTACCTTAAATAGTAGCTAGAAAGGCTCTAAAGGTTTTCCTGCTTTACTATTAGGCGAGTAACTAATATTATCTAATTAATCTATCTGTTCGGTAACCGACGACTTAATAGTGGTTCCGATAAGGTTCGTCTATCAGGCTACTAACCCGGAGGATATAACGGATCAGCATAAGGATAGCTTACTTAACTTCTTTAACCGCGAACTAGCGAAGTTATATAGGGCCGTAATACTAAATTTATTAATTAGGTTTAAGTCCAGCTCGGGCCTTATTCACTACAAACTTAAGTATAAGCGTAGACTCGGACTATTTAGACTTCTTCCCGAGATCCTAACTAAGTTACATAAGCCCTCTACGGCTTCCTCAGTCCCCTACGATTACGGTTCTTCCACTAGATTCGGCAATCTCGTACCCTAAGATTATATAATCGTATATAGTAGAGAATATTCCGTAGGGACGGAATCAACCTTCTCCTACTCCGACTAACACTTAGGATATACTTGATAGGCCTACTATACGGAGTAAATATTATCCTAATACCCCGCTCTCTTCCGTCTCGTCCTACTTAGATACTACTTCTAAGAAACGGAACGATATAGACCCCTACGTTCCTTTCCTAGAGGGTTACCTAGGTAACTATTCGTATAATTATAAGGAAGTAAGGCAAACTAGATTAATTTTAGACCGCTACCCTAGAATTATAGCTAACTTAGGCCCTTCTAGACTAGTCGATCCGATACTCTTTAACATACCTAATTTAATAGATCTTAAATAAGCCGAAGGGTACGAGTCTATTACTTCTTATTCGAGAACGCCTAGCGTTTAAGCCTCTTTTCCTAATCCGAGAAGATATAAAGGAAAGGAGTAAAGAATACCCCGTATAGGAAAACAAGATATTACTCGCAATAAGTACTATATAGCTATCGCTATAGTTATTCCTCTAATACGGCCTAGGCTTATACAGAGGGTACGCCTAAAGAGAAAACCTATTCTATTAGATATTAATCGTAGCGAACCCAGTAAAGACCTTAGTAATTCCCCGGACGAAGATTTCACGAGCGATATAATCTAATCGGAACCGTCAGACGTTAAGGCCTCCTTACAGGAGAAACACGGGCCCCTAAGCATAGCCACTTCGTTCTATAGCCACGATACCTCTATCGGCTATTCCGAATACTGAGATATTATTAGGCGGGTAATTCTCACCATCCTAACACAGGGATCAGAGACCACCTTCTTCTTTATACTTAAGCCCGATAACGTCCGGTTATATATACCTACGTAGAGAATTCCCACTAACTTCGAGAAGCTAGGTAGAATTTCTAAGCGGTCTATAAGTATAGCCTATCTAACTCACAAGAAGGATAAACGTTAGACCTATTTAACTAACGAGAAGTACTTACTAGTAGAGCTAAAGGAGTAAGGGAATTTAATATAGGAGGAAATCGCGGATCATTTTCCTAGTCGAACTTTATCTACGCTACAGGTATATTATTATACAAAACTAAAATACCGAAGAGCTAAAAGAAGCGGCCCACGAAGTCGTAGGGGGAGGGAAAAATAATAAAAGTACATATATCGATAGAAACTATCACAATCGAAAGCATCTACCGTCTCTATATCCCACGCCGCTCCGACTAAGCTTATTAGTTATCTAGCAGCACCCTCCGGGTAGGGATAACCACCACGAAGTACATTATAAGCTAGGGTATCTATAGCCTACGAGGGACGGCCAATAAGTGGACTAGTAACGGTCGTTTATGCCCCTATCATTCTAGGTAATAATAGCTTTAGAAGGGGCCCTAAGTGTGTCTGTCGCTAAGCGGTTTAGAGAAGGTGAGCCGAGTGAACGAGTCTTCAAACTACTAACCTACCAGCGTGCGGCTTATGTGCGGTAGATAGTCGGGTGGCTGCTACTCGGGTGAGTTTAGGATGAGCGCCGCTTTATGGTCGCGCGATCAGGGTGAGGTAGGGTGAGTGCGCAATAGACAGGGTGAGAATCCGGGTGATAGCGGGTAAGAATCACCCTGCGTCGCGCGACCACCGCACGGACCCTCTCACCTGGGCTTAGATCAGCTTTATTTGGTTCACGGGAATTGTTACACACACAGCAGCTTTTGCTAGCCGCACAGCAATTATGTAATATCCCGCATCACATAATCAATTTCGCCAAGAATCCTTACCATACATTACCGCAGCAACTGCATTACTTACCACTATAGCAACTGCATTCTATCAACTACTACTATAAGAGGCTCTCTTTCTTCTAATCAATCTTCATTCAATTGATCATTCTTCATTCAATTGATCTTTCTTCATTCAATCATGAACCCACCAGCTGAGCAAGTCTTTGAGAGTAAAGAGAAGCTCCTTGCTTCTATCCAACAGCATGCTCTTGCTCATGGATATGCGATAACTACTGTCTCATCAAGTAGAGATAGAAACATCACTCTTGGATGTGATAGAGGTGGTTACTATCACGATCAGGTCAATGCCCCAGATGGGGCGAAGCGCCGGAAAACTAGTACAAAACGAATTGGCTGCCCTTTTCGTCTCTATGCGAAGAAGCTTAGAAGCGATCAGTGGGAAATCCAGGTTAGAAATCCTATTCATAACCATGAGGCTGATGATAATATGATTGGTCACTCTATAGCACGACGTCGGCAGTTTACCGAAGATCAAAACCAAACTATTCAGGATCTTACTGATATCGGGTCAAAGCCACAATATATACTAAGTATAATGCGAAAAGATCCTAAAATCTTGATTAAGCCAAGAGATATCTATAATATTCGAATAGCATCAAGGCAAAAGAAACTTGGTAATTCTACACCGCTTGAATTTCTAAGGGAAACCCTTCAAAATAATAATTGGAGATATGCATTCAAACAAGATATTGAAGGTCATGTTCAATTCTTTATGTTCGCTCACCCTACATCAATTAAGTATGCTAATCAATATAATAGGGTCTTTTTATTAGACTGCACTTATAAAACGAATCGATATAAGATGCCCCTTTTACATATTATCGGCCTTACACCATCGAATTCATCTTATAGTATTGCTTTCTGCTTCATGCAAAATGAGCAGGAGGAAAGCTATAAGTGGACTTTATATACTTTTTTCTCATGGCTAGACCCCTTATCCTTTTCTCCAGTTCTTTGTACTGACAGAGATCTTGCTTTAGTAGGTGCAATTAAATCTATCTATCCAAGAAGCCCACATTTATTATGCGTTTGGCATATTAATAAGAATGTGCTTGCAAAGACAAAGCAATATTTCTCTTCGAATGAGGAATTTGAAGCTTTTATACAGTCTTGGAAATCGCTTATTAATTCATCTACTCTAGTTGAATACGAAGATCAACTCGCTAAGTTTGAGACTAGATTTAGTCAAATTGCTCCTGCTGCTCTTCGATATATAAAACAGACCTGGCTAACTTATAAAGAAATGTTCGTTAGGGCGTGGATAGGCCAATATCTTCATCTTGGTAATTGGGCAACCTCACGAGTAGAAGGCTCTCATGCTATTTTAAAAAAGTATATAGGGTCATCAACAGGTGATATCCTCTTTGTTTTTGAACGAATTAATATCGCATTAGAAGCTCAGCACTATACCCTTTCGTCCGATCTTGCAGAAGATCGGATTAAAACGCTAAATTTTTGCTCACACTTTCTCTATTCGAATATTACAAAGAGAGCATCACAATACTCGCTTCGCCAGATCTATAAGCAAGCTTCTATAGCTAAAAGAGCTACTCCCGAAGCCCCTTTATCTAATTGTACTAATATATTCTCTAGGACAATGGGCCTTCCATGTGCCCACCGAATCGCTAGCTTATTGTCAACGTATCAGCCGATTCCACTAAGCGATATACATCAATTTTGGAGGCTTGGCCTTGGCAATGAGCAATCAGAGTATCTGCCAATACTTAATCCTCTATTACCACCGCTGCCACCAAGGAAATCAACCAAAGATACATCATATCAAATCAACAAAACATCAGACCAACGGGTTATCAAGAAGAAAGCGCCATCAAAGTGCTCAAATTGTGGAGAAATTGGCCATACAATACGTTCCTGCAGGGTATAATAGGCTATGTAAATAATATGAAATGATCAATTGAATGAAGATTGATTAGAAGAAAGAGAGCCTCTTATAGTAGTAGTTGATAGAATGCAGTTGCTATAGTGGTAAGTAATGCAGTTGCTGCGGTAATGTATGGTAAGGATTCTTGGCGAAATTGATTATGTGATGCGGGATATTACATAATTGCTGTGCGGCTAGCAAAAGCTGCTGTGTGTGTAACAATTCCCTTGGTTCACCTTGCTGGAACTGTGCTCTCTTGGCACCCTTGGGCGACAGCGTGTTACCAAAAATAGTTTAGCGTACCGGTTGGAGATTAACGCCTCCCACTGTCGTATCACAAGAGAGTGCCAGATGAAGAAGCATAACATAAATACACAAGTAGCTATGAATACATGCCGTCAATGAAGTGATTATAGCGAGTGTTCAGATAGGGTATAGATCGACTCAAGAATACAAGAAGGTTTAGGCTTAGGTCGTATCGGACAAGAAAGTATTCCAAGGTACACCTAGAAGTCATATGTAAAAATCTAGGATGTTTTGAAACTCGGATGTCCGCTCAACTCCCTCAAGTTCTTCCCCCACACCTGTAAGCCTACAACCAACATAAATGCGAACCCGCAAAGCCCTGCCTGGGTACCAAATGCTTTAACAGCACCCATTGTGTTCACCCACTCAATTTCAAAATAGCTGATGACGAAACCTCCCAGAGTCCGCGCAAAACTTAGCCACGCGTTCGTCTCTCCAGAAGCCTCAGGATACGAGTCAAGACAATAGGCACTGATAGCGACAGTATTAAACATGACTCCAAAAACATACATTCCCCAGCCTAATGCAGCGAGAAAGTAGTGCCATTGATGCTGGAGGGCAAAGCCGAGAACGATAAGGCCTGTAACTTGAAGGGGCATTGAGATCCACACCGCACCGAGACGGCCTTCTGCACGGTATTGGCCAGAATGCAAGCGTGTGTAGATATTTGCAATGCAATTATGAGCCCAGTGCCCTGAAACATCGCTGAGGATGAGTGCGATGACAGGAGTGAAGTAAAAAAAGCCTAGCAAAGACTGCAAGTCAGCTTTTGGGCACAGAATAGAAAAATTGAGACTACCACCTACCAATCTGTTTTTGTCCAAAGTTATAAACTGACCCAAGGAAAATCGCAAGAGTAGTATTAATACCAATAACCCACGCGAATGAAAAGACATAAGAAGTAAAGGCAATTAAAACTGGGAGCCGGATAATTATCAAGAAGGGTCGCGCGAGGGCCTGGGTGAACGTACTGCGCTGCTTTCGGCTATGCCACTGTGAGATTCCAACGAGACGCATGAGTCGTGACCCTCGTGGCGGTTGCTCGCTGGCGGGTATTGTCCTATTGTAGTAGGTTTCATCGCTAAAAAGTACAATAGCGAGCAAACACAGCCCAGACATAATACTGTAGATAGCAAACGCCCATTGCCACTTAAGCGTAATCGTTATGAATGCGCCAAACATTGGGCCAAGATATGGTGATATAATCACGAGGGATGCCCAGATGTTGATCTTGCGCGCATGCTCGTGAAAGAAGAACATATCCTTGATGAACATGAGGCCTCCCTATAATAAGATTGAGAGGTTCTTAGCTCGGCGTATTCGGCATGGAAACAAGTTGGAGGTAGGACTTACCGCCTCGCCAACACTAGAAAAAAATCCATTAAGTATGCGAGCAGCCATAAAAGACTCAAAGGTCGTGGCAGCTGTGCACCATATAGCGGTTGCGCAGGTCAAGACAGTGAACCAGAATAATACTGGGAGGCGACCAAAGTAGGCACTAAGGATAACGACGAAAATGCCACCCGCCCCAACCATGAATACGTTCCCTGATTGACTATGATTTACCTCATCCACAGCAATTCCCCATGCACTACAGATAGCGCATAAGCGATAGTCAATGTGAAGAACCGAGGTGGAGGTAAACTTGCATGGCTTGAGCCTCAAGAATGGCTGCCCCTGTAGCAGACCCATAGTTGGGTAGGAATGAAATTGCTGCAACGGTGAGCAAAATGGAGTGCTTTTTTACCGAGCTCCAGTTAAGCGGATCATCAGGGTCATCGCTAGGTTGAGGAACTAAGACGATTTTTCCATCTTCAGATGCTATCATGTTCCTTTCGGCAGTAAACTGGTCCTCATAGACCAAATTCTCACCAATAGCCTCTTCTCCCATCTTATGATTGAATACTGCTTCAACCTGACTGGCATATCCTGCCTCTAGCTCTAGCTTGCTGGACATGGATAGTATCGTTTCCGCAGTGCAAAGAGCCTGGATCAAAGTAAAATGGCAATTCAATTCAGTGACAGAAAATGTGAGGTTAGAATGGAGGATATAGAAGAGCAATATAAGTATCTGGTCATAGAGATTCAATCTCTGCTCCATGCCGGGGTAATGGAAGCTCGCCTTCTCGTCCCGCCGCCCTAGCGGGTGGTACTGGTTCCCCACACTCGTCCACTACAGTCGTACCAAATCCCTAAACCCAAGAAGGTATAGTCCGAGAATTAGTAGTTTGATTCTCCCGGCAAGAAATACCCCTTTACAATATACAACCTTCATAGTCAAAGCTAAATGCAAAGGTTAGTTCATAGCCTGAACTAGGCTGCCGTCGTACGTTCATGGGTTTTGGAAAGCAAATCAATACCGTGCCAATGATTAGCGTAAATCCACGGACGAGTGGGACACCTAAAACCCACGTAGTAAAGGCAATCAACATGTGAATAACAAAAGTTTGTGAATTATTCACAACCGATTTCACCATATTACCGTGAATTTTACCACGTGAAGGGCCTCGCTGTTCCTCTATCTTTACCGTAGATATGGCTTTATTCTAACCTAGCATGTTTCAAATACCGTTCGGGTCATCATCAACGTTCAATCTTTCATATATGTAGGTTTCAAGATATGGGTTAGTTTGCTATTGCCGTAAACTGGGATAAAACTCAACAAGGTGCCATAATATTCGAGAATCTTCATTTTTCTTGAAATGAACTGGCTTTCAATGAGGACGCGTATCCTCAAAGTCAATATCATCAACTTTAATGATATCCCCAGTATCGCAATTGTAGTGGTAAGCAATCCTCAAAGCTATGTCTTGTGCCATCCGGGCCTGATCCAAGTTTCCGCCGTGTCGAATGATGGCCCTAGTATGCCACATAGCCTGAACAGGTGACTTGGAACAAATTAAGGCAGCTGCATTGCACATCTGGGTTTGCACATTAGATAAAATAGCATCCTCGCTAAACCAGTATTCATAGCCGAATTTAAGGGCTAGTAAATCTAAATACAATGAGAGCTGTTAGATATGAATAACTAGGAGCCACGATCATCGCATATCGTATGCTTACAGAGATCTGGATGATACTTCTGCAGAGTTGCTCGATTCGCAGCCGCAGCGTCAGGAGTCCATGTTATATCAAAATATTCACGGCCCCGCTCTTCTCGCTCCCGATCCTGGCATTGCGATTGAAGAGCTTCTGTTCTATAGACAACGATAAGTTTTCGACTGGCGGTTAAATCTCCCCCCCCGGCAACAGAAACTAACCTCGGTCCATAGTGGTCAATGGCATCGTCATCAATAACCTTAAATAGCGGCAATAAGGCCTGCAAGGCCTTTGGAAATCCGTAAAGCACGCTTGTTTTCAAGATTGCCTCTTTGATTCGGCGTTGGACAATCTTCTCATCTTCTAGCAATAAACCTGTTGTTGCCATACGGTACAGGTCTGGAACATTATGCCCGGCACCAGAGGCTGCCAGGGATACAGCCTAAATTACTGTCAGTTAACTATAACCCAAGGGTTTGAGCACCTGTTATCACTTACGGCAACGATGTACCAGTTGGATTGTGTTATCTCAACGGTCCCTTCTCTCCCATAAAACTCGGATAGGTAACCAAGATTTGCCATTTCGTCCTCGGAGAGCGTGAAAGAACGTGAATGACCTCGCAAGGACTACAAGACGAAGAGGCAGAATTTTATCTGCAACTCGAATCTATCCTAGTAGGTAAACACAGTAATGATGAAAAACATCGACCAAGCGTTTTTGTAAACTATTCTTTACCCACCCAAGATGTGCTGGCGGTGGGACAGTCCCGCCAAGCGGCCTATTTAGATGTCCCACCGACGTTTCTCAGCTTCTCTAGATGTGGGGAAGTCCCAGGAGTCCCTACTTGATCAAAATATTTCATGATGAATATGATTACATAAGAGAGGCTTCGATTTATAAAAGGACAATATATCTCTTGGTCTAAGGCTAAATTCATCAAGAATATCGGGGGCCCTTCCTTCTATTACAGGGTAATAAAAATGACAAAGTGTTTCAGATTTCGTCGTTAATGCGTCTTCTAGATGTCTGAGCCATCTTTCAATCCGATCCGCCGACTTGTGACAGGCCATGATAATAACAGCCTCGCCATTGTCCAGTGGGATAATCAGATCCAACCCCAACCATCAGGACATGGCCCTTTCGTTGCATCGCTCTGGTCGACAACTGATGTCCCAGCGGATATGTCTTCTCAGGAGGATCGTGCCCTTATTCCAACAGGGCTGACGAATGATGGCTCTATCTTCCGGCTGGTTGACTTCCCTCCACACTCTAAAGGCATTCTTCACCGATCATTGTCCCTGGATTATGTCCTTATTCTTAAAGGGTCAATTGTGATGACTCTAGATTCTGGGGTCAGAAGTACCTTGAAAGAAGGCGACGTGGTTATTCAACAAGCTACAATGCATGGCTGGGACAACGAAACAGCAGCTTGGACACGGCTTCTGGTTGTGCTACTGCCTGCAAAACCACCCATAATAGATGGGAAAGAACTTACAGCGGAGGTTTCATTCTAATCTACAATCCATAGGGCGAAGACAAATGTGATTAAATTTTCTGTCTGTTATAGTGTTGATGATCTGGAAATTTTAGAAGACCGAGTGACCTCTTTACTTTGGTTCGAGCTCTTGTCCATCCTCTCAAGCTATTTTGAGAAACCATAAACATACTGTTATGACTAAAACAAAGTCACAACAATCCGTTAATACGATGCCATCATTAGATATAGTCTATTGTGTTCCATTGGTGAAATGCCTTTCTCGCGTGGAGATGGACAGGAGCTGCGGACGGCCCGAGATTGTCTCAAATATTACCGTATATTCGATGGCTATGACCATAATTCCAGGCGCAGTGTTTGTAACCATAGAGCCTCAGAGACGAATAGCTTCAGAATACTGTCAATCCATAGGGGCCAGTCGTCATCCCATCGCAAAACACAAACAGCCAAATAATGTTCCTAATACCGCGGATACCACTCAGTCTTTTCCCAATCAACTTTAACCAGATCTGCTTCTTCCTTGCTTTGATTTTTGTCTTCACGGATCATTATATCGTTCCGTTGAAGGTCACTGTGAGTGCACGCCACATCGTCGCCCTTAAAGACGAGAGGCAAACATTTCCGGAGATATTCCAGGGAGTGCCACCGTTGTAGGTGTACTCTAGCAGCGGCTCATAGAGGGCCATCTGCACGTATGCATAACCGATGCGTAAAATTTGTCCAATACTGTATGTACTTTAGAGCTGAACTCTCCAAGAGGACGCAAGAATTACAACTCACCGTTCAGTTTGGACAGATCCCTGAAATCTGGGTCACAGATCGCTTGGAAGATTCTGAAACCACTCTTTCAACCTGTTTTCAATCGAACGCATGCCATATTTCTACATTAGGTGTCTGTGTGGAGGCTTGGCCAAAAATACAGCTGTTCTTTTCAAAAAAAAAATACGCGCCCGCATCCCCTCCCCGCAGACTAACTAGTTTGAGCAGCCGCCGTATTATTGCGAGCTTTCATGGCGTTGAGAACTGGGTTAACGATGACTCTGAAAGGATAATTGTTACTAAGATTCATGAGCCCAAACAATGTATTCGCTTGATTCGTGATTCGTGAAAATGAGAAATAAGCAGACTCAAATAAGATGTCAGACACTTAATTATACAATGCTCCCAGCCTGTTCGATCTTCGCTGACCCTAGCTTGATTAAAGCGTTTCGGAGACTTACGCACGAGTGATTGCTTTGATGTAAAGTGCCCTAATGAGAAGCGCAGCATTAATATAAATACCTTATTCTGTTTATATGAATTGGATCGTCCAAGCCACTATTTAGGAACGATATTTTGATATCTGCTTAGTGGATATACTAATGAAAAATGGTCTCTAATACGAGCAGGATACAGATTAGTTGAACCGAAGTACATGACTAATGCACAAGTCTCCTCAAATTCAAGGCCTTCCTACTGAAAGCCTCTAGGATGATTCTTTGTATACGTTGCAGTGTGTCTGAAATTTCACGAGAGTGAACGAATTGACAATGTTACGCATTCCAATATTGGCATGATGCTGACTTCATCGGCCCGTCTCCCGTCGACCCTATTCGACGGGAGTTCGGAATGAAGAGACATTTAGAAGAGTCTTGAGTCACTGGAATGCTAAATTGAAAATAAAAATGGTAAACGAGAAACGCCATCTCGCGAGCTAAGACAGAGGAGACCGCGCTAGCTTTCGCCGAGGCCTCACCGCTGCCTACGCGTCGTGTGCTTGGAGGGTAGCCTAAGAACAGGAACGGCAATTAACGTCGTGACGAAGCTCCCAATTTGCTTCAGGAAATATAATTCTCTACGTGTATATACGCGCGGCTAAGTATGGTTGAAAGAGGCTGCATATTATATCATCTTCAAATGAGGGGTATGTCAGAAGAAATTCATGTCACCATGCTTTTATTGAAAGTTAGATATGCCTTGCTCGCCCTGGTTTATGATCATGATGTGCAAATATACAATGCATTTTAACGTGTCGTACTGCTGCTAGTCCGGTGAGGGACGTAGGGATACAAGCTTCCGTGGGTGTCAAGTATAAATTCTATTCAAGTTTCGGAAATAAATGGGGGGGGAGGGGACGGTTTTGGAGGTCCATTTCCCTCTACGGATTTGATACCTGGCCAGGGTGCTTGGATGAAAGGTTTGATTGATCTAATGCATCCAGTTTCCACGTATGTTATAGGCCAAATTGTGAAGTTTGGTGCCAGGAGCTTTCACGATTATGTGACTTTAACCAGTAGAAAGTTGTGAGGTGGAACTACCCGGGGTGCAAATATACACTAGCGTGCGGGACGGTGGGACTTCTATTCTCCCCGTGGGGACTCCACAAATTCCAGCTTGTCAAGAGCTGCTGCATCTGTTTACTGCTAACCTCAACACATGTAAACTGAAAATCAGGCACTAAATACGCCCAAGTCATGAACTCAACTTTTCCGAGACAGAATTTCCTTCCAAAACAAACTTGGCAAAATGTTACCTTCCAGCCAGTCTCAGCAAGCCAGCCACGACGAGAAAACTACGTTCAGTCGTCCCTCTATCACCAACGACGCCCAGAAAACCACGAAGACCATGGTGATTCTCTCTGTTTGGATGTCCTTCGCTGCATGGATTGCAAATTTTGACAATGGCTACGGCGGCACGGTTTTGATCATGCCTTCTTTCAAGAAAGCCTTTGGACATTGCCACGTAGCGACTGACCCAACTACGGGCGTCATGATCGAGGAATGTTCGTTAAGCGCATTGCAGCAGTCGCTTATCGGCGTGGGGTCTCTGTTCATGGCAGTTGGTGGCGCCTTTGCAGGTGTGACGGGCACATACATTGGCCGCAAAGGAACTATACAATTTGCTTGTGCGCTTTGCATCATCGGCGCGGCCGGTATGCTTGGAACTGCCGGGAATTTCCTCAATTACATGGTCTGCAAATGCATCAGTAGCGTTGGTATCGGCCAATTAATGGCCTCCAGCATCATCTACGGCTCGGAATGTACTGCTGCAAACAAACGTGGCCTTTTGCTCGGGCTTTACAATGTCGGCTTAGGCCTGGGCAATGTGACTGCGTATGCAGTATGTGCAGGTTCAGCGACGCTCGCACCAAACACTAACTGGCAATGGAAAACGCCAATCGTTTGTCAAATTCCATTGGCCCTCATACTTGGTGTAGGTATGGTTATGTTTGCAGAATCTCCTCGCTGGCTTCTGATAAAAGGCAGAGACGAGGCTGCACGAAAATCTTTTGGTATATTCCACCAGATGGACCCATTTTCGATGCAAATCACGGCTCAGATCGAAGATGTGAAGAGACACATTGAATTTGAGAATGCGTTGAACGTCAACACCTCCTGGACCGAAATATACTGCGGTAATAATCTTCGCCGAACAACAATCTCGGCCTTCATTTTAGTCGGCCTGGCTATTACCGGAATCCAATTCGTTGCACCGTATGCAGCTCTCTTTCTAAGCGGTGTTGGAATCCGTAATTCTTATCTTATAAATGTGATTATCGGACTCTGCATCTTTGGCGGCTCCTGCATCGGTCCTTTCGTCCTCGAGTACGGCGGAAGAAGGTTTTCCATGCTGGTTGGCTATACGTCAATGGCCCTGTGCATGCTTATCTTCTCCTCTGTGAGTACGAGTCTTGGATCTACTGATCCAGTTGCACAGAAAGTTGTCGTTGTCTTCCTTTGCTTATGGGCGTTCATCTTCGGTGGATTCATTGGCCCTAGTGTTTGGCTGGCTTCAGCAGAAATGCACAGTGTCCGTCTCCGCACCTATGGCCAAGCGAATACGACGGTATTTTACCAGATTTTCGCTTTCGGTGCGACCTTCTGGACGCCTTACATGCTGAATGAGGGGTATGGTAACATGGGACCTAATGTCGGGTACTTCTATTTTGGTGTCACATTCATTGTGGGGTTGCTTGTCTTTCTATTTGTCCCAGAAACGGCAAGACTCACCCTCGAACAAATCGATGACTACTTTGTATCGGGCCGGATGGCATGGAGAACCTCGATCTCGAAGAACAAAGCAATTGTTTGTATCGAGGCCTTCGACTTATCAGAGGCTGCTAAAAATGGGGGCCAAAGCTGACGAAAGATAAAGATAAACGCCTACAGCAATTTTCACCTGGCAAAATCTTATTTCAGCATCCGGAAAAAAATCCGAAGAAAGTTTCAGGGAAGTCATTTGGTTGTAAATTTCTGTCATGGATGTGATGTCAATCATGTTAGAATGGAATTTAGAGTAAGACGAAGAGCGTGTGGGGTAGAAGGACCTTAGTACATCCCGCAGTGCAGAAGACAAGGTGAGCCGGGGTACGTTACCAGTCAGTTGAGGCTACGATGGCGACACCTCTGGGTCATCGACTGCTGGGGAAAATCTGTTAAGTGAGCACCCAGGTAACCGACCCTTGAGTCAGTTGTGTTGTATACAGTTATCGTTCATAATCTTTTGGAACATAGTACCTACTGCACCTATCTTTCTGCCCGTGGACTGAAGGACCGTGTTTAAGACACTAATTAACGGTGACTGTATTATTCACAGGCCACGATCTGCAGCTAACCTGAATCATCATTGGCGCTCCTTCGGATAAGGTCGGGAGAATTATTTTTTGAGCGGACCCAGGGGAATTCGAATATGGCAGTATGAGACCTGTTTAATCAGGTAAATTCTCTGGTGATGAGTAAACGATAATGCACTGGTCGGCCTCAGTGAGTGGACCAGTCAGGTACCATCAGCCTTGCATTTAGCCTTTTGATGATTTAAAAGCGTTTAGATATGACACTATGTTCTATATGGATTCCGAATTTTAGAGCTCCGTCTCCTACAAAACACAACTATCATGTATGTTTCCTTCAATAGGTCCAAAGTCCTAGTAGGGTTCATTCCGTAATAACTGGAAGAACAAGATGACTATCATACTCGCCCCCTGTATGCACAGTGTGGCTCCCTTCGTTTGCATCCACTGGCTCCTTGGGTCGCAAGGCCTCCACCTCAGGAAGCGACATATCATGCCCGGATACACGGAGCATCAGGCTCTCCCCAGCCTCAAAAACCACCCCCACGGGCCAGATTGGGATCAGCAGTGGTACAATCTCTCCTGGTTTAACGGGTTCACCGCGATCATGAGAGTAGACAGGCAGTTCATTATCAGAGGCACGAGGCTGTAAAGTCACTCGGTGGGAGGCACGAAGCATGCCCTGTTGTCCGATGTGTTTGGCCACATTAACGTTGGGCACCTCGGGCTCGGGCTTCGGCATCGGAGACCAGTTTAGTGAGGCGAGGGGTTTCCCAGTAACGCTAAGCTTGCGGATTTGGACGACTACGTCAAAGTCATCACCTTCTGAAGAGGACATGTACAGTTTCACGAACGGCCGGCCACATAACTCGGTGTACTTGATGAAACGGAGGGTAAAGTCCTGGTTCAGCCAGATGAGCATATATACACAGCCCTAAGATAGAACGGGGTGGGAAAGGTGATCTTACCGATGAGTCTGTTAATGAATGACCATTGTGTGATGTTGCGGTTACATTAGGTGGCGGAGTGGGAACTAGCTCCCTCGTCGTTCCATCCAAATAGTACTTTTCCATCCTTTGCCGAATCGGCGGCCATTCCTGCTCTGGGCGCTCGATGATAGATTTGGCAATTCCGCCATCGTATCCAAGAAGTGTGAGTCGAACACGCGGGGTGTCGGATTCCCAGCCATTAGCGATACCTTTTGCGTAGAAGTCATAGAAGCGCTGGAGGTCATCGGTCGCTTCTGGTCTATACAGATCATGCCCTAGGTACGTCATTGGCTGGATGCCACAAAAGCACATTTACTTTTGGTCCCCACTCACATTCCTGGGAAGAATGCACTCTTAGCCACTTTCGGGGCGTTGATGCTTTTTCAAAGGTTTGGAACGACCCATCACAGTGGAGTCCAGTGCTATCAACTATTAGCTTAATTGTCTTCCTTTCCTTGTTCATGTTTAGGGAGTGGGGAACACACGAATATGACGCAGCCAGATACATCGGAATATCTCGAATGCGCTCCGGATTTATAACCTTTCCTTTCCAATAGTCATCCAGAAAGGGACGCTGGTCGGTCATAGCTCCAAGGTCTTCCATCTCTCCTGGTCCAGCAATTGCACGGCGGATCATCCCATTGAATCCCGTTGTACTTGGAATTCCACCTCTGCAAATCTGGTCGCTGTAGACGTTTGTCAATCCCTCCCACGGCGCAATGGCTTTCAAATTGGGATGGCTGAGGCGAGAAGCAAAGTTGATTTGGGCTATAGCTAGCCATGAGTTGCCCCTAGAGCACTGTTAGTACTGTTCTAGTCACTGTGGGAATGCTACGTACATCATCACCACCGAGCCATTACACCAGGGTTGTTGGACGACCCAGTCAATCGTATCGTATACATCCACTGCCTCCTATGAGACAATTAGCGAGTTATACGGGGCCGTGCCCATATCGCCAGCCGGGAATTCATACCTGTTCACCCCACCACATCAGATTGCCTTCTGAATTTCCAGAGCCTCTAGCATCAACGTCAACAACAGCATACCCTCGCGAGCACCATTCAGCGGGGTTTGGGCCCTTTAAGACAGATCTCATTAGTGTTATGTGATAGATATTCTAGGATACAAAACTCACCTCAAAAGTCTCGTATCCACTTAGATGCTCATACGGAATACCAATTCTCCAAGGCCCCATAATATCATATGTTAGGGCACCAGTCCCAGACTTTCCATAAGGGCTCCAGGGTATAATGGCTGGAACTTTCTCATCGCCTGCAGGTCGAAATACGTCACCATAAAGAGTAATGCTGTCCCGCATGGGAATGGCCCTGTCGCGTTCCCATACAACATCCACCTTGAACGCCTGGAACCCGGGCTCCTTTACATGGCCCCTAGGCAAAACCTGGATTTCATCAGGATGGAATCCTCCATAGTTGTACATAGGATCTTTTTCACCATGGACAAGTGGCGTATAAATCGTGTCTGGGAAGGCACGGTGTAGTTTGTCCTTGATTGACTCGGTAGCCATTTTGTGTCAGTATCAGTTAGGATAAATTTGTTTAGAGGGTATTGTTACGGGTGACTGGTAAATGCTGGTTAAATAGTGGCGCAGGATCCCCCAGGGCTTGCCCAGTCCCCCACATCCAATGTTCCTTTGGTGGAGTAGTCGAGCTGGGTTCCCGGAATTCCGGGGTCAAAATCAAAAATAAAATAAAAGCTTCCGCTTACAAATGTCATTAACTAGATGATCTGGCTAGCTATCAAAGACTGGCTAGGCGGGAACAGACGGGACCTTCGTTCCCTGCTGTTGTGTTGGGGGACCGCGTCCCACGGTCCCACGTGTTCCCGCGACTCCCACCAACAAACAGCAACAGTAGCAACAAGACAGTGTACCGGTACCTTCGAGCCTGTCGGCTGCTCGTGACCCCGAAGACCGATCTTTAAGTATTGAGGTCTTAATGTTCCTGTAAACACAGGATTTTCAATTTGTAAGCGCCAGGAACCTTACTTCTTCTAGCTACCTGGCGCCAGTAAATTTCGAAGACTTTTCTTAACGCCTAACCCCGACGCAACGCGGACGTTTCGCAGAATCCGTTCTCAGTACTTTTCGAGTCCCACATATTTGTTGTCTAATTTCACTTATTTCCGATGTACGGTATCTCCGTTCAGTAGGTCATGGCGCGAGAATATTCCAATGGTTACCAATAGTGTCGAAGATGGTGGAATAGCGCCAGTCTTTTGAATATATTTACCGAGCCACACAGGGCCTACATCATTCTTTTCTCGAGACAAGACTAGTACAGCTCTATTCCGCTGGTTCTTTTCATATCTTGGCACAAGACTATTTACCAGACATGGAGAACCTGGCCGCATGGATCAAATTCCCAAAGACCGACGTGGTTCTTGAAACCACGCTCAAATACACGCCGGGCATTGGACAAGTCTTGGTGAAGGTGGAGTCTATTGGATTCAACCCAGTGGAGCCTAAGATACAGAAGTAAGTCTTATATTCGAAATCAAGTTCTTCAGACTGATCCAATTGTATTAGATGGTCCGCTCTCCCCTTCAAATACCCGGGCATTCTAGGAATCTCGTTTGCTGGTACCGTTGAACAAGTCGGACCTTCCGTGACTTCCGTTAAAGTCGGGGATCATGTGGTCGTGAGCAAATCGAACGAAGACGGGGATGATGCTAGTTTCAGTGCGTACCAGAAATTTGCCCTTGCACGGGTCTCCCGGTTGGCCAAACTGGACCAAAACGTCTCACTCGATGCTGCGGCTGTCTCCATCACGAACTCCGCGACTGTTGTTGCCGCTCTTTCCGCCAAACTAGGCTTGCGCCGCCCCCCGGTGACAGGAAAGTTAGAGCCAAATGGCAAAAAAGTCCTGATTTACGGTGGCTCGTCGAACTGTGGAGGACACGCAGTCAAATATGCGTCGGACGCTGGTTACGAGGTGATCACCACGTCCTCCCCAGGTCGTAAAGATATTGTCCAGCAGCTGGGCCCAGCTCAAATTATCGATCACACTATTCCTAAGGAGCAATTAATTGAGCGTTTGAGGTCTCATGGTCCGTATGATGCCGTTTTTGACGCGATCGGCCTCCCTGCTGCAACCGAGATCTTGGTGGCCATGTTCGGAGACGAAACAGTCTCATACCATTCAACACTTCCGCCTATGGGCCCCGTTCGCGTTCCTTCCAATATCACCATAAACTTTGCCAGTTACCCGTCTCTGTTAGACCAGCCCGAAAATGAGGAGATCCGTTCTTGGTTCTTTGAGACATATTTCCCCCAGGGCCTGTGCAATGGACAGATTCTTCCGGGAGCTATTATGAAGAAAGACCGAGGACTGAATAGCATCCAAGGAATTCTTGACATTCTGCTGGAAAACCCGACAAAGCGGTTTGTTTGCAACCCTCAAGATACCGAGTGAAATACCGAAATCGGCGAGGCCTCTGAATTTCAAGTGGAGGCCGCATTGAACAGGCCAAAACAAAATCAGTCTCTTGCCCGCATATGCACTCTGGGCGGTATTGCACAATCGTTGTATTCATGAAAAAATAAACATAAATCAGTCAATAAACATACACTTCTTTCCCTGCGAGATGGCAATATTCAAACCCCACGGTCATAGTGGTCGCAGACCTAGAGATGCTTGTCTCAAAGGCCACAGCTATTCAGTCCCAAACGAACGCTCATGAGAGCTAAGACGTTATCTCGGAAGCAGTCAATTAAAATTCTATCTCTCAACTCTTAGATACTAACCTTTCTAATAGGTACTCGCTTGGTTAATCCGCGGGTATTCTGGAAAGACTACCAGGACGATTTTCCTATCCTTGCAAGCCTAGCTCCTGATTTTCTTTCCACTCCTGCAACTGGTTCTGGTGTTGAACGGCTATTCGATTAGTGATATCTGTCACTGCCGCCGAGGTTCGTTGAAGCCGAAAACAATCAAGGATTTGATGATGTCTATGTGTACAACGCGGTTTGATGTTGCATCAGAGCAGTTGACCTTGATGGAAGAGTATCTCTCTGCACAATATATTTCCGCAGCAAGAGACCAGGTCATTGATCACCAGGCTGCGGCTCAGAATGGGGCCAAGGAAAGGAGTGATGCCAAGCGGAGTGAAGGAAGGCGGTGATCATCACGTACCATTTTCTGAGCTCCCAGGCCGACGCTCAACTTTTAATGGTTCGGCGTGTGTTAATCTTGAGTTATTCGCCTCGTTACTACTCACTGTCGTCAACTCCAACATGCACACCGCGCCAGAAAACCGCAAGCCTCAATCACGCCACAAAGAGTTACAGCTACGACGAACAGGCTGCCTGTGCCTGATGACTTCATGATCTCCCATGGAAGGCATAGGGGTGTCAAATAAGCCCTTGAGCCTAATGACATCTGTATTCGACTCGCGGTTGTGCCAGGATAGGTGACGCCAACATTGCTTACCTGATCACTCGAAAATGGAGAAAAGCAAACTGCCTGCTGATTCGTGCTCAAACTCATTTCGTCCCAGAACATTACATTCCTCTGTGGCGCCAAAAAAAGACAACTCAACCCGTTTGATATAAACTATAAACCGTACCTATCAAATGCCATAATGAACATAGGGAATCCAGTGCGCCTGCCTCCGCTCCACCTCCACATCGTCTAATTGAACATCTCTTTCTAACCTCAAATGTTGAAGTCCCTTAGTTACAGCACCTAGCTCGGCCTCAATCCATCGGTCTCGAAGTTGCCGCGTGGCGTGGTGAAGCCCGCGACTAACCGAATCATCGGTCATTCCCTCATCACGTAGGAACTCGTACGTCATTCGAGCCATATCCACAGATATCTTATCGTCGACGCTCCAAAGGGTACCTATCACATGACGAAATCCGGCCAGCTGATAGGCACTAGCCAGATGAATATTCTCGTCAATAGATGTCTTATTGATCACTTGTCCAGTCCCACATGCCGAAAGATACGCGAGGAATGGTGGGTTTGAGCTGAGGTTAATCTCAAGAAGACTTTCAACAGTAAGTGGCTGAGTCTCCCAGTCCTCAAGGAGCAACTGGCTATGTAATGGTTCTCCAGGATGTGTGCTACCGTGGCCTGCGAAATGAAAGATGTGGCAATGTTCCAAGGCTGACAGAACAGGGGACTTATATGGCTGAGGCTTCAATGGAGTCAGTCCTATTGTCTGACAAATGGCCAGCACAGCATCGGCTTCGACCGATGCAAATTTCAGGGTCCCTTGTTTTGGGATTCGTTGCATAGTAACGACAGCGGCGTTCGACGGAATGCGTGGCACTGAACCACGATGCTCCCGTTGACGTGGATGGTTGATTGCCTTGATAGAAGAGCTATAGGATAAAATAACTCGATCAAGCGCTGTTTCGCTAGTGCATCGAAGGTGGTGTCCTGCTACATGGAGTGGGAATTGAGCTAACAGAACCGTTGGGATCCACCAGATATATGGCCACTTGTTATCCAGTGGAGGAGTTGTGAAGCCTAGTCTATCGAGAATAGGCTCAATAATAGAATCCTAAAGCCATGCAAGAGTTTCAAAACACTGGATGTTAGCGACTTTTTCATTAAGAGTTGCCCGGGTAAGACGCGGAAGCTCTAGTAGTTCGACACTATCTTGCTGAAGAAGAAAAGCATCACAGCGATAAGAGCTAACATTGATTATCATAATAGGACCGGACGCTGTAGCCTCTAACAGGTCAGCTTCTGATGTAGGGAGGAAGAATCGGTCAAAGCCTTGGCAGGAACGGATATTTTTCAGGATCTCGTGGAGCTTTGCTAGAGCTTCTAGACGGCGGCTGCCTTCTGTATCCGGGGGCATAGCAGGGTTGTCAGCGTGAGCAAATACTCGGGATGGTGGTAAATTTAGCTTTTCAAGCAATTCAAGCAAAGAACCTGCGAGTTCTGGATGCTTTAGTTGCAGGATGGAAATCTCAGATCGCTCGAAAAGAGCATCCGCAATTATTCCACGGCCGGTCTCGAGGAATTCTGTAGCGATAAGTGGACCTTTCTCGGCGTGCAAAGCAATAGCAGCCGCATCACAGGACAGCCCAACAGCGGCAGAGAGAAGGTGCCGTTTATCACTATGTTGGAGAGAACGGGATGACAAGAGAGGAATCAAGTCGATGGTTGTCTTGCTGATAGAATAAGCCTCCTGTGGATTACGAAGAATTTGGGGGAACGATATTAGTTGACGGCCAGCTGAGACACGATGCGTGATTACAGCGGTGGGGTGATTTAGAGCAAGAATGAGAGATATTTGTGCCTCTTCAAGATCTGCCATCGCCCCGGTACGCGAGTATCTAATCTGTAGACAACTTCCGAGATTGTTCAACCATCTGGCTCGGTCTGGATGATCCGACGGGGTGACTCCGACCGCTCGGCGTGTTATTTTGATTGCCTCCTCAAGATCTGCTATCGCCCCAGTGCGCTAGTATCTGCCGCGTAAGGAAATTCTAAGATTGTCAAATCGTCTAGCTCGGTTTAGATGATCGGGTGGAGTGGCTTCGACGGCTTGGCGTGCTATAGTGATTGCTTCCTTAAGATCTGCTATCGCCCCGGTCCGTAAGTGTCTGACGTGTAGATACTTTCCGAGATTATTTAATTATCTAGCCCGGTCTAGATGATTAGGTAGGGTAGCTTCGACGGCTTACCGTGTTATATTAATTATATCCTTAAGATCTGCTATCGCCCCAGTCCGTGAGAATCTGTCGTTAAACTATATTCCGAGGTTGATTAACTACCTAGGTCGTTCTAGATTATCTAATAGAGTAGCTTCGATAGCTTATCGTACTATAGTGATTACCTCCTAAAGATCTATTATTACCCTAGTACGCGAGTACCTACTATATAAGGAAACTCCGAGATTATTAAATAGTCTAGCTTAGTCTAGATAATTAGGTAAAGTAGCTTTAATAGCTTAGCGCTCTATATTAATCGTCTCCTTAAGATCTACTATCGCCCCGGTCCGTGAATATCTATCGCGTAGAGAATTTCCGAGATTATTTAATAATATAGTTCGATCTAGATAATTAGATAGAGTAGCTTCGACCGCTTAACGTACTATAGTGACTACCTCTTTAAGGTCTACTATCGCCCCGGTACGTAAGTATCTATCGCGTAGACGTATTCCGAGACTATTTATTTACCTAGCCTAGTTTAGATAATCGGGTAGAGTGGCTTTAACGGCTTAGCGTACTATAGTGACTACCTCCTTAAGGTCTACTATAGTCCCGGTGCGTAAGTATCTAATATACAGATAATTTCCGAGACTATTTAATTATCTAGCCCGGTCTGGATAATCGGGTAGAGTGGCTTCCACGGCCTAGCGTGCTATATTAATAGCCTCCTTAAGGTCTGCTATCGCCCCGGTGCGTGAGTATCTATCCCGTAGATAAATACCGAGACTGTTTAGTTACCTAGCCCGGTCTAGATAATCGGGTGGAGTAGCTTTAACGGCTTAGCGTGCTATAGTGATCGCCTCCCTAAGGTCTTCTATCGCCCCGGTTCGTAAGTATCTATCGCGTAGATACATTCCGAGACTGTTTAATTATCTAGCCCGGTCTAGATGATTAGGTAGAGTAGCTTTAACGGCTTAGCGTGCTATAGTGATCGCCTCCCTAAGGTCTTCTATCGCCCCGGTTCGTAAGTATCTATCGCGTAGATACATTCCGAGACTGTTTAATTGTCTAGCCCTATCTAGATAATTAGGCGGAGTGGCTTAAATAGCTTAGTGTGCTATAGTGATTCCCTCCTTAAGGTCTAACATCGCCCCGGTGCGTGAGTATCTATTTTGTAGATAACCTCCGAGATTATCTAATAATATAGCTCGGTTTAGATAATTTAGGTAGAGTGGCTTCGACGGCTTAGCGTACTATAGTGATTACTTCCTTAAGATCTACTATCGCCCTAGTCCGTAAGTATCTACTGCCTAGATAATTTCCGAGATTATTTAATCGTCTAGCCCGGTCTAGATAATCTAGCGGCGTAGCCTCGACGGCTTACCTTATCGTATTAATTACCTCGTTAAGATCTACTATCGCCCCGGTACGTAAGTATCTACTACGTAGATAAGTTACGAGATTATTTAACCGTCTAGCTCGATTAGGATAATCTAAGGAAGTAGCTTTCACGGCTTATTATGTTAAATTTATTACTTCCTTAAGATTTACTATCGTCCCGGTACGTAAGTATCTAATATATAGATATATTCCGAGGTTATTTAACCGTCTAGCTCGATCTAGATAATTAGGCAGAGTCGCTTCGACCGCCTAGCGTGCTATAGTTACTACCGTCTTAAGATCTACTATCGCCCTAGTGCGTAAATATCTATCGCGAAGATATATACCGAGATTATTTAATTATCTAGCCCGGTCTAGATAATCGGGCGGAGTAGCTTTAACGGCTTAGCGTACTATAGTGATTCCCTCCTCTAGGTCTACTATCGCCCCGGTACGCGAGTATCTATCGTAAAGACGATTTCCGAGATTATTTAATAATATAGCTCGATCTAGATAATTAGGTAGAGTAGCTTCGACCGCTTAGCGTGCTATAGTGACCGCCTCTTTAAGATCTACTATCGCCCCGGTACGTAAATATCTATCGCGTAGACGTATTCCGAGACTGTTTATTTACCTAGCCCGGTTTAGATAATCGGGTGGAGTGGCTTTAACGGCTTAGCGTGCTATAGTGACTGCCTCCTCAAGGTCTGCCATAGTCCCGGTACGTAAGTATCTATCGCGTAGATGAATTCCGAGACTGTTTAATTGTCTAGCCCGGTCTGGATGATCAGGCGGAGTAACTTTAACGGCTTGGCGTGCTATATTAACTGCCACCTTAAGATCTGCCATCGAGTAGTTATTATCTCGGTGAAGTCTGGGATTGTTCAACCGATCGGCGCGGGTCGGATGCATAGCACTTCTGATGTTCGTTGTCTCCTTGATCTATCCTTCGGATCCCTCAGTGATAGCTTTTCAGACACCAGACGACAGTGAAACGGGGCCGAGTAACAGAAACGGAACAAGAGACCGATGGGAAATTCTGATTGGAGTCGATTACACGGATGTGTCCGGGATGTGAGGAAAGTTGAAGCCCGCCTCGCGGCAGATCCAAGAGACACGATCATTTCCACGTTAATAGCTAGCGACCCCTTAATCCTGCCTTAGGCAGCCCACCGGGACTCGAGGAAACATGGCCCACTCCCGACGTCGCGCGATCATCGCACTGACCCTCTCAACTGAACTCAACGAACATCATTAGTTCACATCGATCTGGCTGAGACCGTAGTCTCTTGGCACTTTCATATACACCCAAATTCCAAACCAGGATTAGCCAAATCGACTGCGAGGCTGACTTCAAGGTCGCCTTGGGCTCAAGTCGCGTGCTTAGTGCCCAGACAACACCAACATCCAGGAATTCCAAGTACGTAACTTGTTAACATGCTGTAGCATGTACGGCATAACGTAGTCCACGGCCAAGCTGGCCACACGGTCGAACTGGCCACCCCAAAACACCGTATTGAAAGTGAATTTTTACAACTTCATATGTCAACACTTGATGCTTAGCATATGATCTTAGGTATCCTAGAGTTCAATGTATCATATTAAATATCTTTATAAGGTCGACAAGTACGTAACTATGTGATATGATGGCGATATATATCTGCATTGCTTGGTTGGAGCGTTTTTTTTTTGGTAATACTGATAAGTAATCATCTACTGTATTTCTTACTTGAGCTGGGCTATTTCTGACGCTGAAGATATTATCTGATTGAAAATCGAGTAAAATCAACCTCTCGTTGTTAATATACAGCGACCTGAGAAATCGCACTTAGTATGGTGTTTTGGGGTGGCCAGCTCGACCATGGATTACGTTGACTAAACCGGCGATTAAGAAAGTTGGCAAGTTGACCTACAACATTAGTTAGACTATCTCTCTAAAGTAGAGTCCAAGATCTACAGTAACAGCAAAATTAACACCAGTCGCGCGACAGAAGGTGAGACTCAACTGCTCTCACCCCGTATCTCACCCTGCTGATTGCGCGCTCACCCTGCTCGCTCCTAGTCGCGCGACCATAAGCCTACTTTCTTTAATGCGTCGAAACCTTCCCGTTAGCTTGACTTCTGCGCATACTCTATAGTGTTCGTAGATTGGGCTCACGACGGCCACCTTACCATATTTAGTAGATAGACGGATGAATAGGTTAGCCTCTAGCAGACCATAGCTCCTTACACCAGTCTCGATATTCTGTGTAACCATAGATCCTGACGTGAACTATGTGGCCATTTGTATCTATATACTCTAGCATCTTCACCGATCGAGTGATTAATTAGCTTTAATGAGTTTAAATGCTATATACGGAGCTGTTCCCGAACTCCTAAACCAGAATAGCGCCGAAGAAGGCTTCAAAAAGGCTACGGGCCATTCTATTTACGGCCTGCTAGATTTAGCTATCCAAAAGCGGCAAGTTTTTAGTATTAACAGATATAAGTTTGTTTATGTAACGATATAAGCAGAGGCGCAAGCGTAAAGGAGATAGCGTAGACTATAGCTAAATATTTAATGAAGTAGAGAGAAAAATAATAATAGCCCTAGGCTACGAGTAGTGCATATATATAGAAATAAATCGTAGCCGACAGTCCTCTACTAACGTCCTTTAGCATCCGGACCTTTACCTAGATAAAAATTTTATTAATCTAGATACTTATCGGATCACCCGTATTATAGACTAGCAATTAGAGTACGTTGCTCCGTTATTTTATTAATCTAGCGTTCCCAGAATATATAGACATCCTAGGCCTATTTCGGGAAGGCTAGGTCGTCCCTAGACGACTAGAGGGGGTTAAGAGCTTAAGTAAAGATAAACAGAAATAGATTAATAACGATTTAGGAAGCGAAACTATTTATAAATACTACGAGGCGCAGGCGTATAAGCGAGCGCCTCGTTATTTAGTACAAACCGTCAGAAAGCCCAAGAAACGATATAAATATAGTCTAATAAACCCACATCACTAATCTAACCAGGATAGCATAAATCACTTAAAAAGTAGTACCGAACTTAGGAGTTAGAAAGTAGATTCTAGGTAGAAAGTAGGTTTGGTACTTACTCTTAAGCTACCCCTAAATTCTCCAGAACTATAGCGTTAATAAGTAAAAATTCTCTAAGTAAAGCTTCCAGAAAATAAAGTCCGTGGCAAAGGTACGTTAAGCGCTATTATTCTATAGTAACTTAATTATTCCGAGGTTATATAGCCTTATTCTAGCAGGAAACATAAATCCGATTAT